CCCGGCGATCAATTGGCCGGAGATAAAAAAAAAAATTGAATCATCTGTTTGATTCAGTCAAAATCGATGGCCAAGGGACGAAAACTAACCATTAGCCGCAGCGAACGCTATTTAGGAAGCCTGAGCTACGACCAGGGCCAGGGGCCGGCGGCCGCCTCGCCGGAGTTCGGGGAAGACGAGGTCTGGTCGGTGGTCGATGACGACCCGGCTGCTGGCGAGGAGTGGACCCCACGCGCCTCCAACCATAGTAATGGGAGCCTCAGTGGGTATGGCGCCTGGCGCCCACCTCCGCTTCCCGACCGTCGCCGGTCGCCCGGCGGCCTATCGTTGGCCTTCGAAGACGGCGCCGGCGGCGCCTCTTCACCGCGGATCGTGCACCAGATCCGGCAGGAAAGCCCGCGCGGGCGCCACCTGGCCGCGTCCGCTCCGGTGGACGTGCCCGACTGGTCGAAGATCTACCGGGTCGACTCGGTCGAGTCGCTGCCCGACTGGGACGACGGTGTGGACGAGTCGGAGTTGGTGCCGCCGCACGAGTACCTGGCGCGGAGCCGGAAAATGGCAGCGAACTCCGTGTTCGAGGGCGTGGGCCGGACGCTCAAGGGCAGGGACCTGAGCCGGGTTCGAGACGCCGTCTGGAGTCAGACCGGGTTCGATGGGTGATTTGTGATTTTTCGTGAGTATGGGGTCCGCGTGAGGGCGATTATTGGGTGCATGGTCTCCGCACATTAAAAGGACAGTGGCAGTAATAATTTAATTAAATTGGGCGAGTATTAATTTCTTTTTAATTGTGTGTTGCTTTAGAATTTTTCCACAAATTAAGCATTGTGAAAATTTCATATAACTACTACTCCAAGCTTTTGCAAAGTTTTTTACACTATTAATATATAATAGTCACACTGTACATTAAGTATATACAAATTATAATTTGAGTTAATATATACTTTTTATCAAATTGATTTACCAACCGACTTAACAAATTACGTGCTTGCGAAATCTGAATTGTTGAATTTGAGAAAATTATAATGATGAGAGTAGTGTATATTCATCATATATTTCCATAATTCAATCTAAAAATTATTTTGACAATGTAACACGAGCCTCTTGTAATTTAAAACATTACAAGAACACAAAAGTCAGTTAGCTTAAACTTTTTTTTTTTTAAGGCAAGCTGCACCATGAATTAC